GTAGATTATGTATTAAGAACTTGCAAGACACATAAAGAAAATGTATTTTTATTTTCAATAACCAGTTAGTATTTATTGGAAAATTTCAATTTTTTATAAAAGAAATTCTTTTGAATATCCAAAAACCATGAAATCTTTGAACATTAACAAAATGAAAGTTAAGAAAACTGATTCGGGGGAAATTTATGATGTGCAAAGCATTGATTTTTATGTCAGTTATAAAATAAAGTTTAATAGTAGAAATAAATGAATAAATAAAAACAGAAAAGTCAAGATAAAATTTGAATGATTTAAACAATGAAAAGATTTCTATAATTCTGCCAGTCAAAATATGATATCTAATAAGTGAGAATTTTAAGCCAATTTGAATGCTGTACTTAAAATTACATGTTTCCATCACATCATTACAGTTTAATGTTTGCTTCTTCCATGTGTTGTTTCACTACTCAAAGAAAGAGAATTATGCCAATGTCCACAATATTTTTAAAGGGAAAAAATGGTCATATAAAACAGCAGAGAACCAAATAAAAGACAGAAAGATTCAATAATTCTGCTTGAATCTTTTTCAATATTTTTAAAGTTTTTTTTTTTTGCGCTTATTTTTTTTACAGAACATTTGAAAATCTTGATGGATGGAAGATACATTTGTGTTTTTGTTTTTTTTTCACTAAAATTCCCAGAGTAAAATTGTAAGCAGTTTTTCATCTCAGCCAACTCTGCCAGAGGCATCACTATTGATAACATTTGCTTTGAGCTTTTTGAATCAGTAATATTTATTCTTGATTTTTTTTATTTTAATTGAAAAAAAAAATCATTTTTTATGAGAATTTTTTTTTATCTAAAAAACTAATTGAACAATTTTTGTTGAGTTTGATGCTTAAATTGCCGTTAATGTCATTGTCATTCGATGGCATTTTATAAAAACTATTCACAAAATTCAATTCCAGACTGTTTACCTAAAGAAGGTAGAAATTATTTTTTTATACAACACGCCAGGGAATTAATAAGAAAACAAACAGATATTTTCATGTTGTCTTACTATAAATCTGACAAACACAATAGAATACAGGTTGAAATTTAAAATCTTCTTTGAGTATCAAGTAAAAACTATGGAAGACTAAAAGCACAATCAATCATTAATCAACATTAACACATTTTTATAGTTAATTCTGATAACATAAATAAATATGTTCACTACAGGCCAATTATTACAAGTTGAGTAACACATAGCAATTTCACTTATCTCAAATGATAGGGACTAAGGAAGTTCTTTCAAAAAAAGCAAGTAAATTTTGGCAGTAAAATATCAGGTGTGTGTAAAAATTTCCAGTGATCACATGTTTTAAAAACTAGAGGCTGAATGCACAACTGTCAGTCTGTTTTTTGTTTTTTTGTTTTTTTTGTTTGGTTGTTTTTTTGTTTTTTTTGCTGGTAACTTCTGCATACATATAACCAAAAAAAAATGTAAATTTCTTTACATATTATATTTCAACAAAATTTTCCGGAACTCTTTTGAAAACTAGAGACTGAAACAGTTCAAATCTTTTTTTAAGTGGAAGGTGGTGAGGGAAAGCAAGAAGAAAGGACTAAATATCAACTGCATGAAAACAGAATGCATGGTCGTTAGCAAAAGGATGAGCTGCAAATTGGAGATACCAAAATCTGACAAGAGTAGAAATTTAAATATCTGGAAAGGGTTCTAACAGAGGACAGAAACTATGACACTGAAACTCGAAGCCAAAGATACATTTCAAAAATCTAAACAGAGTATTAAGAAACAGAAAAACTTTACGAGAAACAAGGAAAAGAGAACTAAACTGTTACATAATATCTGTCCACCTGTAAGGCAGTCAGTGCTGGACAATCTCTTCAAAGATGAAGAGGAGACTTGAAGCAACAGAAATATGGCTCTCCAGAAGTATACTAATGATACCATAGACCAGACATGTGAGCAACAAAAAAAATTTTAAAGAAAATGGAAACAAAAAGGAAACATACTTAAAATCAGGAAGAGACATTTGAAGTTTCTAGGGCACATAATGAGGAGGGGGGTTGTAAAATCTGATACTCACGGGAGACATTGAAGGCCAGAGAGACAGAGAAAAACAGTGCATGACATACTTAGTGAGCTTGAGTAAATGGATGGCAGAACAGGGCACAGGAGAAATAACAGAATGACAAAATTTATTATGAGATACAAGGGACAGGAAGTAATGGAGAGCCATGATCGCCTATATCCTGCATATAAAGAATAATTTGCATATGTATAAATAGGAAATATATTTTTCATCCAATCAAAATGCACCACTGAAAATCAATTTAAGATCCCTTCTCTGGAACCCATCCAAGTCTTTTCTGGAATCAGGAGTTTTCATTATTTGCATCATTGATAGTAAGATGAAAATCCTCGTATTCATTGTCATTATCCCAACATTACAATGATTGTGCTCACTGGCCTTCTTCAGGTATCTGTCAATCCATGTAGCCATCAAGGAATTTCAAACTGAACCCTTTATTTAATGTTGGCATTAAATAACCAGGTGTTGATATGCTGTAAAACAAAATAAACTAAACTTCCTACTTTTTATATTCATTTCATGTATCTCATTCAATAAGCCTCTACTTTGAGTGGCTCTTAAGTCTTGTATTGGGTGAACATTAGTATGATAAAGTATAATGAAAATATGCATATAAATCCACTGGTGTATAATTTAGAAATTTCTAGTGCAAAAGAGAATGTGGCTTATGTGGTGAAATAATTTAGAAACAATCTTCATATCATGTCAAAGTATTTTCAAAGAAAGTGGTCAAGATCTTGGCATGCTTCAGGACACTCAAGAGAACAACATATATGAAGATTTACCTCAACAACTAAGCAATTCTTGTTGAGGGCTGGGGACCATAGACAATTGTTACAGTTTGGAATTCAGAATTGTCCTTTTCCTCAGAGAACCCAGTTTGCTGTACTATTTAAACTACAGTGAGAGAAGAGATGGATTCATACCTTTACCAAAGGGTATTTAAGTGAATCTCATGAACTTGACTGGAATTTGAACTCAGCTTTCTGATTTCCCATTCTGGACCGCTATCAATTACACTATCTGAACATCAAACATCCACAATATTCATCAATAAAAATGTGATGTTGATGGGTCCCAAATCATCTTCCAACCATTACTCAGAAACTGGCTACTGTGCTGAAGCTCATCTGACCTCATCATAAAGCTGAATCCATTGGCTAATTGAAGGGTTATCATCAAGGTAACTAAGTAGTCACATTTACTACAGTTTTGAAATCAGAATGAATCTTCTCCTAGACAAACTGCCAACCAAGGCTAATGAGCTCTGTCTACCTATATTCAAAGGGATATTGTGAAGTAAACAGAGACAAATTAATTTAATGCTCAGATGATCTGCAGAACTGATTTCTCAACAGCCACCGATAATTTAGACCTTCACAACTAAAACCAGCCTTGCTACATCCATCAGGTTGAATCACCCTCATTCCTTTTTGGAAAGAAAGATGTTTCATCCAGAAGGTTTCTTTCTAAAATGTTCTACTTTGTGGAAAAGATTCCACAATGGATGCTTCCCAGATGAATATTAACCTTTTCAAGTTAAAGTTCAACTGTTATCTATCCTCCATATCCTCATAACTTCCCTATTCCTACTACCTCCTCTTACATTTGTATCATGCCCCTCATTCAGTAAACCTCTACTTTGAGTGGCTCTTAAGTCTTGTATTGGGTGAACATTAATAGAAAAAATGAAAGTATGTATGTAAATCTGTTGGTGCCTTGATTTGGAAATTTCTAGTGCAAAAGATAATGTGAGTTATGTGCTTAAATAATTTAGAAATAATCTTTGTATCTTGGCATTATATTTTCAAAGAAAGTGGTCAAGATCTTGTCATGCTTCAGGACACTCAAGAGAACAACATATATGAAGATTTACCTCAACAACTAAGCAATTCTTCTTCAAATTTGTGAAGTGCTCTTTCGTTACTTCCCAACCATGTTGTTGAGTACTGAAGACTATAAACAGTTGTTATGCTTTTAAATTCAGAGGTTGTTGTCTGTTGCCTTAAATAGTTTGCCAACCACAGTTAAAGAATCCTGTCTGCTCTGTTATTGAAAAGGGATGGATTCATACTTTTATAAAGGGTATATATTTACAAGTGAATGTCATGAACTTGACTGGAATTTGAACTCAGCTCTCTGATTTTTCCATTCTGGACTGCCACTACCTGCACGTCATAAATCCACAATACTCACTGATAAAAATGTGATGTCAATGGGTTCCAAATCCTCCTCTGACCATTACTTGGAAATTAAGATTAGTCAGAATTAGTAAAATAAAAAATGTCTTTGAAAGTATACCTTAAACTAATGTCTTTCCTCCATATGATTTGGAAGACAATGTTTTCTGATTTGTCAACAAAAATGCTTTAAGAACAGAGTGGTTTGGTTTGGTTTGTTTTATAGCATATCAACCTCAATGGGTTATTTAATGCCAACAAAATTTTTATTGCTGGTAAATTTTTTTTTTTTTTCGAAAAATATATTTCTGGGAATATCTTATTTCTTTTTGCAAAAATGTATTGCTGGTAATAATTTTTTATAAAGTATTTCTGGTATTAAAACCTATTTTTATACTTTCATAGTATTTTGACCCAAGTTTTGGTGTTAACTATTTGCCCATAGCTGGGACCCTAACAGGTGCTACCACCCCAGATCAGGATGGACCTGGCAATTAAGAGGTGGTTCCATGCTCCTCAAAACTTCCTGATTAGAGACCTTGTTGTTGGATGTAGTTTATCGTCATACCCAAGACAGTAAAGAACAGAGTGGAATGTCATAAGAAATCATCGCAAACTTACATTCTTCAATGTTTTATCAAAGAGATGTAAATACGAATACCATTTGCATTTAGAGTACTTTCAATCCAAAAAGCTCTTTGCAGCTAGAAGCAACAAGTCAAATCAAAAATAATTTACTTAC